CTCATCCAGAGTGTCTTGGTGACCTTTGAGACATCCTATGGGTGGTACCTGTCACTCATCAATATGTGACTGTTGAGCATGTGACTGCTGACCACCAGCTCAAGTCAGCAGACCTTTGTCCCCTGTCTGTGAGCCCAAAAATGTTAACCCCCTCTTTTACTCCCTATAAGAGGACCGCGGCCCCTGAGCTAGGTGCCTCTCTGAGCCAGCCACTTGGTTCTGAGAGTGCCGTCTGGCCAGACTAATAAAGGTCTTTTACCATCCAGCCTGGTGTGTTCCTTCCTGGGTTTCTTGTTCTCCGTCGAGCTCCTGGAGCCTCGCTGGGTGTTGGACCCACCATTGTGGAGGCCTTTTGGCTGTTCACACTCCGTGGAGTGGAAGTGAGACTTTAGGTCTTACATTCTCTGAATTAAGTTATAATTCAGTATACATTTCCATATATGATTTTGTCTCAGAATTACATTCCAAAGTCTGAGCAATTTTTATTTGATAGTTTTTGAATTTATATCTTTCCTTTTTCAAATTGTGAGTTTCTGATACTTTTATATCAAAAATTTTTATAACCTACAAATCTTTTCTTTTTTTTTCCTGTACCAGGGATTGAACTTGGGTCCTTGCACTTATGAGCAGGTGGCAGAACCACTGAGCTAAATCCCTGGCCCCTTAACCTACAAATTTTTTACATGTAAATTCATTTTATCTTTTTCCAGTGATTCTATTTCTTATGTTTTTGTTGTTGTTTTCTTTTGATTTTGTGCTATACATACATGGTAAAATGGTTAAATCTACCTGGTTTATTATTATATGTCTTGATGGGAGAAGATAAGAATTTTCAAAGGTTGCAATATTTTAATTCAAGTTGTTTGTTTTCTTCTTATAATACATACATATATATATCTACTTATAGATACATATGTATATATAGTCTAGGTATTTTCTGTTCATTTGAAAGAAAATGTTTTCATAAATATGAAATAATGCTTTTATGTAAGCCACTTTGAGAAATTTTGGGGGGGATGTAAGAGGGAAAAATTTGAAACTAAACTTTATGATATGAGAATGAGGAGAGATAATTAGTAAAAAGGACCTTATTAGGAGGAGAAGGATGTTTATAGAATTAGATAAAGGTGAGAGAAAATGATGAGAAATAGAAGATAAAAGAAAAGGGAGTGAAAAAAGAAATTATATGGGGAGTAAAAATAAGAGAGAAAAATTAAGGGGAGAATAATTAAAAGAAGAGGGAGAAATATGGAAGAAAAGCAATAAGAAAAAGAGATAAGAAGCAAAGAAGAAAGATGGGAAAATTCCCCAAGCACCAATAAACTGGTGAAGAAGAAAGGAGGAAATGAAAGAGGAAAAAAAGCCCCCCCGCAAAGAAAACCTAAAAATAACGCACACACAAATTTTTTTCTCTGTGACTTTAAAGTGTGGTTTTCTTCTGAGATCTACAATTTTAGGGCAGTGTCCAAATCAAGGTGTGTCCCTGCTCACATGGATAATGGAGGCAGGCAGACTCCACATCCATGTTTGGATGCAGGCACCAGCAAGCAGCAGGATTAGGGCAAGGACAACAATGTCTGAACTTTCAAGTCCAGACTGAATTCAGACTGAATCTGGCCTCTGGCCATGCAAATGGGACCAATATCCTGTGGTTCAAACCCCTCAGGGGTTCTCTTTTCAGCCTGACCACAGCTGCCTGACCACACCTGTCTACTGTGCCTATTTTTCACCCAGTCACTATGGAAGCCTATTTTGGGGAGAACATCAAGGAATAAAAGAAAGAGACAAAGACAATTTTCAAGTTATAAGAGGGAGGACCAGGAGACCTGCCTCTGGCAGGCAGACTCTGCCCACTTCTATTAGCCAGTGAGAAGCACAGGGGAAGGGGTAGCATGCATTTCATAGAATAGTAACTATAGAGAATGGATGGATAAAGATTATTAATGAACCAGATATTCTCTACAACCAAATGCCTGTGTATTGACAATTGTCCTCAGCAGATGCTGTCTTGCCTCAGGAGTGCTGGGTTATGGGCATTCCAACCATATCCAGGAGGCATTAGATTTTATCAATCATTATGCGTTCTACAGTATGTCCAGTTATGTGCAGAATCATGGTAACACCAAAGAGTTTCCCTTAGCAACAACAACAACAACAACAACCAAGATATTCTTTAACTATTAGGTATATCAAATTAGTCTTCATTTCTATGAAGCTGTTAAGGAGCCCATCTCATCATGGCACTTACGCCTGACCAACTGTGAACATAGATTCCATCCCCTGGCCATAACCACCCACAAACTCCAAACTTATTATGTGTTTTACTTTCCCTTGTCACTGGACAGTAGAGGCACAGAACAACCAATCAACCTGATTGAAGGTGAAAGCAATTCCCCAGGTGAGAAGGAAAGTTGGGAGGGTTGACAGCTCTGGAGAGAAATGACAGATGTGGCCCATGACACAAGCCACAATAACAGCCTTTAAAGAAAACAGTGACCTCATGGGTTCCAAGACTGCATATCCTGGAAAGAAGCCACTCATTCAAAAACAGAGAAGATTTTTTTTTAATTCAGTGGTTTGTCATTTTGTTTTTTTGTGGAGTTTTTTGTTGTTGTTTGTTTTTGAAGCTTGGTGTTTAGTCTCTACATGTTTTTCCTTTTTCCTTTTCTTCTTTTAATGTTTTTCTTCATTTTTACTTTTTTCTTTTATTTTTTTCTTCTTTTGCTTGTTTTTTTTCCTTTTATATTTATCTAATACTATTAATTTTCTTTTATTCCTCAATAGGATCCCCATCTCACACTTCTTTCCTCCTGCTCATTTTCTATTGATTAATATTTCAAACTTTAATATTCACTTGTTCAATTCCTGATACCCTCCCTCATTATGAGTACAACCAATAAGCACTATGGTCTTTTAGATAATTAAATCTATGCTATTAGTGTTAAATAATGCTCTACTGTTAGGGGAGCTGGGAGTTGTTTCACTTGTAGGTCAATATTTGGTTTGTCTTAGTGCTTATACTATAATTATAGATCTCTTCTCTATGATAAAGGGAGTTACATAGTGATTCTTAGAGCGTGTCAATATCCAGAATGTCTTTCATGCTATTATTGTTGCTGAATTTAATACTATATGCAAGGTGACATTGTTGTGGCTGTTAATTGGTTTTTTTCTGTATGCCAATGTCAGGACTGTCTTTGTGTGATCAACAATTCTATAGTTCACTTCCAAAGAACTGGGTACTAGGCCAAATTAACTGCATCCTTCCAACCCAAAAAAAAGCAATGGCTGAATTCTAGGACATAGTCAAAAGCTAATAGTTAGACATACCCAGAAAGCATCACTAAAAAGCAGGCATTAAAGAAGTCTCCATACTAAAAAGAAATCCTTCCACTATATACAAACCAAAAACCCCAGCACAAAAACAAACACACAAATACTATCATGAAAAGACAAGGCAACAAAAATCTGGATAAAGAAATTGGTACAATTGCACACAATGCAGTACTACTCTACCATAAAGAAAGATAAACTTGAGTCATTTATAGAAAAATAGATGCACCTTGAGACCGTAATGTTAAGTGAAGTAAATGGATACGGCTTGGCTATCACATGTCTTCTCTTTCATGAGAAACTCAAACCACAAATAAAGAGCAAAATGAAGGATAGATGGTAAGAAGTACGTAGATGAATCTTTCTCAAATGAGAAGGATATTGGGAGATGGAGGGAGTGGGGAAGAATCTATCTCTCAAAATTGATGGAGAAATAAGATACTTTTATAACAAAGAGAACCTTAGGAACTTCATGAATACCAAATCAGCACTCCAAAAATTTAAACAATATCCTAGGAAAAGACAGTGAGGATCACAGCCCCAGGAAGCCCAGCAGAATGAATCCATCAGGTGTGACAAGAAATTAAATGCAAAGGAGGAGAATCCAACAAAAAGAAAGAGTCATGACAAGGATAAGTCAATGCATATACGTTATAACCATCAATGTTAATAGTCTTAATTCACGAATCAAAAGAAATAGACTGGCAGAATGCATCAAGAAGCAAGATCCAACAATACGTTGCATATAAGAAACACACCTAACTCAAAAACAAAATCATAGAATGAAAGTTAAAGGGTGGAAAACAATACTCCATGGGACAGGAACCAAAACTATGGTTGGGGGGAGTAACTATCCTCTTTGCAGATTAAGTGGATTTAAACCAACACTGATTAAGAGAGACAAAAAAGGACACTACATCATTGTAAAAGGAATAATCCATGAAAAGAGATGACAATCATAAATATACATGAACCAAACACTTGTGCACTCAACTATATAAAACAAATACTAATGGACATGAAAAATCAAACAAGCACTAATACAATAGTAGTGGGGGATGCCAATACCCCACTGTTACAAATAGATCAACTAGACAAAAAAATAAATGACACAATACTGGAATTCAGTCAAACTCTTCAACAAATTAACTTAACAGATGTTTACAGAGTGTTCCCCACAAAATCAGAATACACATTCTTTTCAGCTGCACATGAGTTGTTCTCCAAAATAGACCACATACTTGCTCATAGAACATATTTAAGTGACCTGAGGACTTAGATCAGTGGTTCTTCCACCTGCCTTGCAAGCTTGAAAACCCGAGTTCAATCCCTGGTACAAAAAAAAATGTTTAAGTAAGTACAAAGAATGGAAGTTATCCCCTGTATATTATCAGACCATAATGTGATGAAATTGGAGATGAATATCAAAAGACACTGCAAGAATTCCATAAACATGGAAATTGAACAAAACACTTCCCAATGATCAATGGGTCACAGAAGAAATTAAAGAATAAATCAATCAGTTCCACAATTAAATGACAATGACAATACAAGATATAAGAACCTATGGGACACAATGAAAGCAGTCTTATGAGGGAAATTTATAGCAGTGAATACTCATATTATGAAAACAGACTGAATTCAATTGAACAACGTGATGCCTAACCTCAATTTTCTAGAAATAGAAGAGCAGGACAAACACAAAGCTCATATGACAAAGTAAATTATAAAGAGCAAAGCAGAAATCAATGCAATGGACACTAAGAGAACAATACAAATAATCAACAAAGCCAAGAGTTGGTTCTTTGCAAGAATAAACATTGACAAACCCTTAGTCAACCATATCAAAAAATAAAAAGAAATAAAGAAAATGCCCAAATGCATGCAATTAAGAATGAAAAGGATGCAATTACAACAGACACAGTAGAAATCCAGAAAATCATCAATACCTACTTTGAGAACATATAGGCCAATAAGATGGAAAATAGGGAAGAAATGGACAGATTCCTAGGTACATATGAATCACCAAAGTTGAACAAAGATGACCTAAAAATTCTGAACAACCCAATATCCATCAATGAAATTGAAAATGTAGTTTAAAAATCACCAAAGCCCAGACACTCATGGCTTCACTGCTGAATTCTACAAGACATTTAGAGAGAAACTACTGCCACAACTATTTAAACTCTTCAGTGAAATTGAAAGGGAAGCAATACTCCCAAATTCATTCCTGGAAGCAAGTATCATCTGGATCCCCAAAGCAGAAAAAGACCCAACCAAAAAAGAGAAGTAAATGTCAATTTCACAAGTGAACATAGATGAAAAATATCCTTAATAAGATCCTGGCAAATAGAATGTAGATGATCATCAAAAAGACCATACACCCTGTCCAAGTGGGATTCATTCCAGGGATACAAAGATGGTTCAACATATGCAAAACAATAAATGTAATACAGTATATTAATATAGCCAGGGACAAAAATCATATGATCATCTCAATAGATTCAGAAGAAGCATTTGACAAAATTTAGCATGCATTTATGATAATAACACCACAGAAAATTGCAATAGACAGTCTACCTCAATCTGATAAAAGCCATCTATGAAAAACCAGCAGCCAATATCATATTAAATGCTTGAAAACTGAAATCCTTCACACTCAAATCAGGAGCAAGACAAGGATGTCCATTATCACCACTCCTGTTCAACATACCTCTACAAACATTAGCCACAGCAATTAGACAAGGGAGAGAAATAAAAAGAATAAAGATAGGAAATGCAGAAGTCAAATTGTCATTATTTGAAGATGACATGATACTCCATATAGAAGACTCCAAGAACTCCATCAAAAGTCTTCTAGACTTAATAACCAAATTCAGTAAAGTAGCTGGATACAAGGTCAACACACAACAATCAATAGCTTTCCTGTACATGAAAAACAGACTCACTGACAGAGAAGCGAGACAAACAACTCCTTTCACACTAGCATCCAAAAAAATGAAATACCGAGGAATCGACCTAACAAAAGAAATCAAAGAACTCTACTCTGAAAACTATAGCACTCTGAAAAAAGACATTGATGTCAGAAAATGAAAAGACATCCATTGCTCCTGGTAGGAACAATCTGCATAGTGAAAATGACCATACTCCCAAAACTGTTATATATATTCATTGCAATCCCAATTGATATTCCAGCAACATACTTCACAGAACTGGAGAAAACAAGCCAAAAAGTCATTTGGAACAAGACAACACCTAGAATAGAGAAAGCAATTCTAGGCAATAAAGACAAGGTAAGGGGTATCACAATCCCCAACTTCAAACTATACTACAAAGCTACTGTGATAAAAATAACATGGTACTGGGAAAAAAACAGACCTGAGGACCGGTGGAACACATTACAAGATGCAGAAACAGCTCCAGACACACTCAGCTACCTGATCTTGAAAAAAAACCAACTAGCCTCACTGGAGGAAAGATAGCCTCTTTAATAAATGATGCTAGAAAAACTAGGCTGCAACTAGTCAAAGATTAAAACGAGATCTGTATCTCTCACCATGCACTAAAATAGAAGTGGATTAAAGATCTAAATATTAAAACAGAAACACTAAACCAGCAAGCAGAGAGGTTAGGTGGAACTCTTGAAGGCATTGGTGTAGGAAAAGATTCTATGAACAAAACCTCAGTTGCCTGTGAACTAGCACAAAGAATCAACAAGTGGGATCTCTTATTAAAAAGCTTCTGCACAGAAAAAAAAAAAGTGTGAAGAGCCAATTCACAATGTGGGAAATATTTTACACCAGCTGTTTCTCAGACAAAGGTCTACAGCAGAGAATATATAAAGTACTTCAAAAAATCTGACCTCCCAAATTTAAAGACAGACTCCAAAAATGGGCATCTGAAATAAACACATTTCTCAGACAAAGAACAGAAATAGCAAATAAACATATGAAAAAATGTCCCAACTTCACGGTCACTAGAGACATGCATATGTAAACAATGCTGAGACTTCACCTCAGCCCAGAAAGAATGGCTGCTATTATGAAATAAACAAATAAAAAATGCTAGTGGTGCTGTAGGGAAAGAGGAACCCTACTTCCCTGCTGGTAGGAGTGTAGACTGCTGCAACCACTGTGGAAATCAGTATGGAACTACCTCAAAGAACTAGGATTGGAAGTCCCATTTGACCCAGCTACCTTGCTGGTTATCTCCCCCAAAGAGTTAAAAGAATCATACCACAGTGATATATGTGCACATATCTTCATAGCAGCACAATTTATAATAGCTAAAACTTGGAAGCAGCCCAATTGCCCGTCAACTAGAGACTGGATAGAAAAAAAGGTGTTTTTTTTAAATGAAGTACTACTCAGCCATAAAAAGTAATAAATTAGAAATAATTATAGCATGGATGCAAATAAATAAATGGATGCAAATTGAGATGATATTCAAGTAAAAAAATAGGACACGTGTAAATATCAAATAGTTTCTCTACTGTGAGAAACTGAAAGTGTAAATAAGGACTAAAAGTTATAATAAATAAAGTGAAATAGGAAGAAAAGGGGAAAAGGGAAAGAGAGTAGAGGAAAGTAAAGAAGGGAAGGGAATTAATATGAGAAAATGAAAAAATGGAAGCAAAGTCTTTGTAGATAGTGAAGAAGGCAGGGGTTGAAGAGAGGGCAGGGGGATATGGAAAAAATAAGAACCAAGGATTATGTAAAGGTGAACATTTCCAATGATGAATATCATTAAGTTGAATACCTCAGATGCACCAATAAAATTAATTAGAATAAAAAAGAAGAGATTCATAAGTTCTACAGAGAGCAAGCTCATGTACTCAAAGCTTCTATATAAGCACATCAAAAAAGTAAAAGCATTAAAAACTTGAGTAGATGACTGGTAGGAGGAAGGACACACTACTGGTTTCTAGAGGTAAAGGCATGGTGCTTATTAGTGTTAAAAACATGGGTCTAAAACTAAGGGAAGAAAATGTCTTCTTCAGATACAAGCTGAATTAAATTATCAAAAAACTTCTTAGAATATAAGATTCATCCAATTCACTTTATTGCTTGAAATAAAAAAGCTACAAAAGTTCATCCTGCACATCTTCATGTTAAACTTCGATAGCACCAGGTAAATCAATCCCAATTCCATACATTTCTAGATCATCTTTTTTGTTGTTTTTGTTTTTGTTTTTTTCTTTTATTGAGTTTATTGGTACATTTTAGGTATGCAGTACAGTTACATTCATCACTGGGATCTTGCACCTTTACATGACAGGTCTTGGTTCTCATTTTTTCCACTTGGCCCTGCCCTCCCTTCACCCTCTAGATCATCTTTGAAGCCAGTTGGGGAGTTAAAGGTCTGAACAGATTTGCATTCATGAAACTTGATAAGAGTGACAAAGAGGAACATCAGCAAATGCCATGTTTTCTTACATATGTGTTTAATCTTGATACCATAATATTGGGGTTTAAAGTGGGAAGAATAATCAGGTACAAGTCAGCTAAAAGTACATGGATGTGCAAGGGCACTGTATCCCTCCCTAGCCAGTCGACATAGACAGATGCCATCCCAGGTAGATAGTATAGGGCCATGACACCCACATGGGAGCCACATGTGCTTAGTGCCTTCCGCTGAGCATTCTTTGAGGAAAGATGGAATACTGCCCTGAGAATCAAGACATAGGAGGCAGCAATGAAGGCCACATCAGAGCCCACAACAATAGAGGAACCAATTAAACTGTAGAGACTGCTGGGCATGGCATCAGCACATGCCAACTTGGCCACAGCCATGTGCTCACAGTAAGAATGGGGAACCTCGTTGGAGCCACAGAATGGTAAATGACTCAGCAGCCAACTCAAGGGAGACATGAACAAGACAGCCCTGAGTGCAATGGTCACACTCACTCCCAGCATCACTTTGGCTGTGAGAATCCTCTTGTAATGTAGGGGCTTGCAGATGGCTACATAGCGGTCAATAGCCATGGCCAGCAGCAGCCCTGTCTCCACAGCTGTGGCTGTGTGGACAAAATACATTTGAGTGAAGCAAGCATTAAAGCTGATGGAGCCGTCTCCTGAGCGGAAGATGCTCACCATCTTGGGTACCACAGAGGAAGCCATAACAATGTCCACAGCAGCCAGAAGACACAGGAAACAATACATAGGCTCTTGGAGAGTGGAATCTATGAATATCACGGTCATGATGAGGGTGTTTCCTAACAGGGCTGTGGTGTACGTGGCATTCAGTGAGATAGCCAGCCAAAGGTGTGAGGACTGCAAACCTGGAATGCCCACAAGAAAGAAGATGGCAGGGCTTCCCAATGTGTGGCTGTAGCATGACTCAAGCATTGTGTATAAGACTGTCTTCCTGTTATGTAACAAAGTTATGGACCAAAAAATACAAATCTATCAGTTTATTTTTGTCTGTTGTATTGGTAAATCCTGAGGATAATCAGACTGGATATATTCTCAGGATCAGAAAAGTAACGTGGTAAAGCTCTTCTGCTCCATTTTTCATCTTTTTCAATCAACATTTATTAATTTCTATTCATGATTCAATATCAGCTCCCTTTGGGAAATCTGTGCAGTCTCTCGTTCCCCATTGAATGTTAGCAAGGTGCCTTTTTTCTGAGTTCATAAAATGTCTCATGCTAGCTTATGAAATGCTGAAATGGAGAATTTCAGTATGTTACCTATGAATTTATTGTATGCACTCAAATGTGTATCTGTTCTTCAAGGATTTATGCCAAGAATCCGATCCTTACCTGCGGGATACATGTGCTCTTAAAGAGATACCTGTAGTTATTACAATAAACAGTTTCCACAAAATTCATGATCAGCCAGAGGACATAAATCCTCTTTTATTTCCATGTTTAGTAATTGAATTTAATAATCATTGAATGAAGTAATGAACTTCTTGTAGTCAAGTGTGTTAGTTTTTTTATCCTCAGTATAGTTCCTACACAAAATGTGAAGGAAACATCTTTATGATTAAAGGCTTTAAGTTACAGGTTTAGGGAAATGAGATCATTAGAGAACATTACCTCTTTTGATACACAATAATGAATAATGAGGATATTGGCAATCTACTTTCCTTTAGGTTCCTTGAAATATATTCAATGAATATTTAGCTACACAAAAGAGTTGGGGATATGTGTAGATGAAGTCCTATTAAACTTTTTCATGATTCCTCAATAAGGATAAACAAAAAAGCTCTCAGTCAATCCTTTTGCTTAGGTCTTTGTCATAACTTTGCTTGGTCCTGAAAACCACCTCCCAACCATTCTAAGATCTGACTTATCCTTCTGTCATATTTGAACTATTAGTCCTGCTTTCCCTTCCCTCTACAACCTCCTCCACCCTCTCTTTATTCTCAAAAGAAGCTCATGGTATCACCAGTACACTCTAGACCTGGCCAGCATTTATAGTGGGGTTGAGGACTTAAAACCCTCCTTTCTACATGACCCTGGGCTTGAGACTCATCGACATAACCCCCAATCCCCAGGTCAGTTACCCACATCTCATGGTTTCCTCAATGCAACTTCTATGATAGGCTCTTTGTAAGCAAGAAAAGGAGAGTAAAAACACAAACTTCTTCAAGAGGAGCTACAGGGACTCAAAGAAAACAATAAATTATGCAGAGTTGCCCTCTTCAAACACCTCCCACTGGGAGCCCTCCACAGCAGATACTCAATCACCTGCCTTTTCCCTGAATGTCCTGGCTTCTGTAGGCCTCTGCTTAGCAAGGAGACACTGCAATTCCTCCAGAGGCTGATTTGACTCTGCTCTGCCCCTGAGACTTTTCAGACTGCAGGCAGAAGTGGCTGCTCAGTGACTCAACAGTCTTTGTTTCTTCAAGTTCTCAGAGAATGCCTAAATGTTAGAGCAATGATACAAAATTTATCAAGAATGGGAATAAAAGGCTCCAGACTGGTTAAGATTTCTGAAAGCCTCCTATGGACTCAGTCACCCTAATAGATATTTTGCTATTTCTTTCATTTAATTTTCACAAATTGTGACATAGCTGTCTTCAGCACGTCTACATTTCATAGACGAAGTGATATACAAAGAAGTGGCATAGACAAAGCCGATAACCTTAGGAATCCAGATTCCAATTCTAGCAAATATAATGCTTTTCACTTGTTTGTATACTTCATGTACTGAGTGCTACTCTGAACGTGTACATACCAATTAAAATGTCCTGAAGATACTGTTTTTAATTCTTTGGGTATATATACCTAGAAGTGGATTTACTGCATTGTATGGTAGTCCTATTTTCAATCTGTTGAAGAATACCCATATTCAACTACATTGTCTGCACCACCAACAGTGCAGGAGGTTTCAACTTCTCCACATCCTTGCCAAAACTTGCTATTCTTTTCTTATGTTGGTATCTTAATAGATGCAAAATATCATCTCATAGTAGCTTTGGTTTGTATTTCTCTAATGATTAGGGATGCAAAATATCTTTATGTTAGTTGCATGTGATCTTTACAGAAATGCCTATTCAAGTCCTTTGACCATTTTTCACTGGACTATACCATTTTTGTAGAATTTTATGAGCTCTTCATGTACTGAAAGTGAGACCTTTATCAAATATATGATCATAAATATTTTCTTCCATTCTGTAGGTTGCCAGTTCACTCTGTTCTATCCTTTGTTACACAAAAGTAATTCTATTTCATGCAGTTCCATGTGTTTGTTTTTACTTTTGTTGCTAGGAATGTACTATCTCATGATTAAATGTAATAACACTGACGTATAATAGCTCTCCTAAACCAAGACCTCTTTAGAAGAAAGTTGTTTGCCATGAAAATCACCTTATAAAGCTGACAGAGATAGTTGATACATCAGATGCGTAAATCAAAACAGGATCAGTGCTGGTGCTGCACTTCGACTTTTAACACTATTAGAAAATTATATTTTATTAAGATTTTTAAAGGTACCAGAATCAACTATATGTGCCTCATACCTTAGCTCTTTTGCTTTTTAATATATATTGAATATTCAGTTCAAGGCTCTCTGAAAGGACATATACAACTGAGAAAAAAACCAAAGCTATGTAAGATTACACATACATTTAAGAGTAGTGATGTTTCCATTATTTTCTATTTGTTATTTATGAATTTCCTTTCCAGAAAGATCCTGAGAGGTACCCACCAGAAAAAGACCTAATTTATATTTGATCCCTTTCTCTGTCTTTCCAAAATGAGTACCACAGAGCAGATCGAGGAAGCACAAATATGCACAAAACCAAGAAATGAGTACCACAGAGCAGATCGAGGAAGCACAAATATGCACAAAACCAAGGCATATCAACTTACATTCCATTGCTTAAGAACAAAAAGCTGATCCGTGGTACAGTAATTCTAACTGCTTAAAATAATTAAAGTTTAAAAGATACATAAGAAGTGTCTTCTAGGCATGTACCTTGTCATTCAAAAATCAGTTCAAACTGCAGAATCAGAGAAACACTCTCTTCAACTCATATTGCTAAATGACTTCTATTGCTGTTTTACATGTTTCTCTTTCAAGTTCATGTGTTGGAAAAAGGCCACCATCTTTGATCTCAAGTTTATGTCTTCTCAGCTAACTGGAATCCATTTTGGCTGGAGAAGGACTCAGGTTTAGGTGTAAGATCATGACCCAACTTGAGTGAATTCATCAGGGGTTAGGGGAAGAGGTCATGTAATTAACAATTTCATTCATATAATCCCAAGAAAGGAAGAGCAATTTGCAAAATTCAGGCAGGTTTTGGGGGAAGGATGTCAAAATTTGTTTTTTTAGCAAAAAGATGGGTAGGCTATTACTTTGGAAAAAGGAGTAAGGAACTAAAGAAAGAAAAAGTCCAAATCTGCATTTTCCACCCAAAGTCATCTCTGATACATATACTAATATGATTGAAATAAAACCAGAATTTCCTTTACATTCTTACTAAAAATAGAAACTGATACAAAGATACTCTGTACAGCTTCATCTTGTAATGCATATAGTGCTACATTTATCAGCTCAATTCCATAGATTTCTAAAGTTCCTTCCCAGGTGACTGGAAAGCTCAATGTTGAAACAGTCTCATGTTTATTCACTCTAAATGGAGTGGTCAAAGAGACAATACATCAGCCAACTCCATATTCTTTCTCGTATGTGTTTGGTCCGCAGGCCATAGATGATGGGGTTTAAAGTGGGAGGAATAATCAGGTACAAGTCAGCTAACAGCACTTGGGTGTAGAAGGGCACTGTGTCCCGCCCTAGGAAGGCTACATAGATGGATGCCATCCCAGGTAGATAGTATAGGGCCATAACACCCACATGGGAGCCACACGTGCTTAGTGCCTTCCGCTGAGCATTCTTTGAGGAAAGATGGAATACTGCCCTGAGAATCAAGATATAGGAGGCAGCAATGAATGCCACATCAGAGCCCACAATAATAGAGGAGCCAATTAAACTGTAGAGACTGCTGGGCATGGCATCAGCACATGCCAACTTGGCCACAGCCATGTGCTCACAGTAAGAATGGGGAACCTCGTTGGAGCCACAGAATGGTAAATGACTCAGCAGCCAACTCAAGGGAGATATGAACAAGACAGCCCTGAGTGCAATGGTCACACTCACTCCCAGCATCACTTTGGCTGTGAGAATCCCCTTGTAATGTAGGGGCTTGCAGATGGCTACATAGCGGTCAATAGCCATGGCCAGCAGCAGCCCTGTCTCCACAGCTGTGGCTGCGTGGACAAAATACATTTGAGTGAAGCAAGCATTAAAGCTGATGGAGCCATCTCCTGAGCAGAAGACGCTCACCATCTTGGGTACCACAGAGGAAGCCATAACAGCAGTCAGAAGCCACAGGCTCTTGGAGAGTGGAATCTATGAATATCACGGTCATGATGAGGGTGTTTCCTAACAGGGCTGTGGTGTACATGGCACTCAGTGAGATAGCCAGCCAAAGGTGTGAGGACTGCAAACCTGGAATGCCCACAGGAAAGAAGATGGCAGGGCTCCCCACTGTGTAGTTGTAGGGTGTCTCCAGCATTGTATGTAAGATTGTCTTCCTGTTATGTAATAAAGTTATGGACCAAAAAATACAAATCTTTCAGATTTATTTTTTGTCTGTAGTGTTGGTAAATCCTTGGTGAAATCTCAGATTAGAAATATTCTCAACATCAGAAAAATAACATGTGGTAAAGCTCTTCTGTTCCATTTTTCATCTTTTTCAATCATCTTTGTCTTATTTCTTTTCATTGTTCAAGATGAGCTCTCACGTTTCCTCCTTCGGGAAATGTCTGCACTCTCTCTTGCCCCATTTCATGTTAATATGTTTTCTTTCCTCTAAGTTCATAAAATGTCTCCTG